CAATGGAAAACCACGGCCATATTTTTCAGAGGAGAAAATCTGCAAGTCCATAAGATCATTTAATAGACATGTATTGAATAACCCTGTAGGGATTAGATTGCAATTCTAGCAAAAGAGGAGAGAGAGAGAGAGAGAGAGAGAGAGAGAGAGAGAGAGAGAGAGAGAGAGAGAGAGAGAGAGATATCAGGTAGGCAGAACAAACAAGAGGGGACACTTTCCTTTAATAGCCGGGCACAGTGGCACATGCCTATAATCCCAGTGGCTCAGGAGGCTGAGGCAGGGGGATCGTGAGTTCAAAGACAGCCTCAGCAAAAGCAAGGCCCTAAGCAACTCAGTGAGACCCTGTCTCTAAATAAAATACAAAATAGGACTGGGGATGTGGCTCAAGTGATCAAGTGCCCCTGAGTTCAATCCCTGGTATCCCTCCCCAAAAAAAGATAGGGCAGAAGACCACACCTCCAGAGCTGAGTTCAAATCCTGCCCGCCCATGTGGGCCAGCTGTGTAGCTTTGCATGAGCTTTACCTCTGAGCTTTCAGGTCCTTATCTTTAAACTAGTTTTCGCTTGGCTTCTCTCAGAGAGGAGTGTGAAAGTTAAGTGATAATGTGAATAAAATGTACCTAGCAAAATTCCTGATGGATCTCCATTCCACGCCCCCCTCACTTCCTTCATCTTGGAAGTGTTCTGCGTGTGTTCTTCCCACAGTTGTGATTCACATTAGGCCCCGATTCTGCATTCACTTTGATACAAATTGCTGGCGATGAGAGAGTAATGGGTTAAAATAAAGTGAACTAAGGGAGTCCTAATCCCATCAGGCAGAGTATTCGAAGGTCCAGGGGGTTTCTCGGTTCCAGCTGGTAATCCATCCCACCAGGTTTTAATACTATATTTCTAACGCATTAGAACCTCACAGCCGTACCACTAATCGTTCCATTAGGAAATGAAATTTTAATTAAAAATAAGAAATAAGTCATGAAGGTTTAAAATACAGAGAGCTAAGGAGATCATGTTGTAGAGAGAGCCTGGGGGCAGAGACAGGAAAAAGGCAGGGCATGAGTCCCAGCTCTAAGGCCAGATACCCCTGGGAAAATCATGATTTCTTCTGGGCTCATTTCCTCACGGGTTGCAATGGTTTGAATGTGTTCCCCAGGTGCTCATGTTGGAAACTTAATCCCCAAATTTATATATTAATGGTATTTAGAGGTGAGGCCACTGGGGTACCTAGGATTAGATGAGGTCACGTGGGTGGGGCCCCTATCCTACCATTAGAGGATTTATAAGAGGAGGAAGAGAGACCCAAGCTGGCATGCTCACTCTGTCTCACCATGTGATGCCCTCTGCTGTGCCATGATGCAGCCAGAAAGCCCACAGCACATACCAGCACCATGTTCTTGGACTTCTCAGCATCCAGAACCGTGAATTAAATGAACCTCTGTTCTTTATAAACCATCCAGCCTGTGGTACTTGGTTATAGCAACAGAAAATGAATAAGATGCCAGTAAAATTCTTAAATTTTTATATCTCTAGCTTCTGTAAGATTCCAAGAGTCGATAATTTACAGACGAGATTATTTTAAGTGTTAAGAATGTAGTTTCTGTTTAAAGAGCATGAATTCAATGAACCCCAAATCAAATCAACCAGAGGCTTGATTTATTCCAAATTCACCTTAGAGTGTTTTCTGTTTCCTTCTTTTCTTCCTTTTTTCTTTCTGTCTTTATTTTTGTTCCCTTTATCTGTTGTAGTGGTTATGATTGCTATTATCATCATTTGTTTTTTTCTCTTGTAATTTATTTTTCTATTCTCCACTTCTGTTAATTTTTCCTCTTCAATTGATTCTAATATAAAATAAAGACATAATTGGAAATATTTTTATTTAAAAATTTTTGAATATTTATTTCATACTCTTTTTTTAAAAAAATTTTTTTAGTTTTTGATAGATGTTTGTTATTTATTTATTCATTTATATGTGGTACTGAGAATCAAACTCGGTGCCTTACACATGCTAGGCAAGTGCACTACCGATGGGACACAACCCCAGCCCCTATTTCATATTCTTAACTTTAATATTAGATGGGTTGAACGTATGTTTCTGTCTCTCAATAACATACATTAATTATTATTATTATCATTGTTTTCTTGTGGTCCACTGATATTTTTTTCCCCAATTGATGAATATATATGTATATTCATTCCCATGACAGGGGAAATAAGAAGATTAGTCCAGGGGAAGCTCACACTAGAGAAATAGCAGATTCCTAGAAGACACTGTGAATTTACTGTGTTTACCCCTTCCTTTTATATTTTCATTATAAAAGCAGAGATGACTACTTGACCATAAAAGAAAAAAGGCTGTGTTAGTCAATTGCTGTGACAAAATACCTGAGAAAATGAACTTGATAAATAAAAAAGGTACATTTTGGCTCATGGTTTCAGTGCATGGTAACTTGGTTCTATTGCATTAGGCCTGTGATAGGACAGTGTGTCAGTGGTAGCGTGTGGCAGAGGAGGCCTGTTCATTCATTGGCCAGGATGCAAAGAGAGAAAGAAGATGGGAGCAGGTACCCAACAGCCCATCAACAGAATGCCCCCGGTGACCTAATTTCCCTCCACCAGGTCCTTTCTACCTCCCAGTGGTGCCACAGGCTGGTGGCCAAGCCTTTAACACATAGGCTTTGGGGAAGCTTTCAAGATTCAAACTATAGCAGGATTTTCAATATCATTTTCACATCATTTGCCTACGAGAAAGTATACTTTTCTGATATAATCAGAACAAAATTAAAAATAAATGTCAAAATCAGAAAAAAAAAAGAAGAGGGGTTATCTTCACATTTGCTATAGCTATTTAATCATTCAGAGTGGTCACGTGCTCCTTGTGACCGCTGGCAGGGAGGCTGTGCCAGGCCCTGCTCTCCGGAGGGCTGTGGGGGCCACTCACCCTTCAGTCAGAGTCTCTTATCTTTGATGCCCAAGTCTAAGACGGAACTGGCCATTCAACATCATTCGAGTGCTCCTTGAGCCCTTCCTGCACACGTGGCACCTCTGTGGACTCCTGGACCCTGGGTGGACTTCTAGCAGAGCACCTGCAGTGCCTTCTCCTTCTTCATTGACTAAGTCACCCGGGACCCCTCTTCCTTCTGTCAGGCAGCAAAGACCAGAGGGCATGGGGCCTGATGGGCTTGTTTCTTTGTATTTCTACCCAGGTCCTCATGGGAAGAAGGGTTGAATAAATCACCAAAGGAACATGTAAGTTGCCCTGAGCTCAGGGAGAGGAGGATTAATACACACACACACACACACACACAAAACCTCTGGAGATAATAATGCAAAATCAGGCCAGTAAATGAATGAACAGGGTAACAAACTGATTAGTCAACAACAATGAACAAAGGGTGTGAGAAAGATGCCCAGCAGTGTTCTGGGGAGTGGAGACACCAAGCTGAGGGACCTTGACCTCAGCTTGATTGAACCCAGGGACACTTAACCACAGAGTCACATCCCCAGACCTTTTAAATTTTCCTTTTGAGATGGGTTCGTGCTAAGTTGCATAGGGACTTGCCAAGTTGCTGAGGCTGGCTTTGAACCCGCCATCCTCCTGCCTTGGCCTCCCACGCCGCTGGGATTATAGTTGTGTGCCACTGCACTTGGAAGAACCTTGGCTTTTTAATGAGCCTTCACAAACTTTGTATTACAGATTGGAGGACTCAGGTCAAACAACTTCACGAGCAGCATGGCAGGGAATCACGACCCCAAGTGTCATAAACGCTATGGCCATGCGACAAGCAAGGTCTCAAGTGCTCTCTCATTTACATAGCCCAGGCCTGTCACCAGGCTGAGGCTCGAAGAGCTGGCTGACACAGCCATGGTGACACAGCTGCTAAGTGGAGGAGGCAGGTTTGAACCCAGGCTCCAAGCTTTGTCATCTTCATTGTATGCTCTACAGTGACCATGTTCCTGTCTGCCACGCGGCCAGCGCTGGCTTCATGAAAGAAGGTTCGGTTCATAAGAAATTACTAGGGAGTTTTTAATTAAAGAGACAGACTCTCATTACCTTTAACACCAGCTCCGAGAGGGCTTCTCCTAGCTCCCGCCTCCAGCCACCTAATGTGGTGGCGAGGTTTACAGAAGAGGCGAGAGAGAGAGAGGGAGAGAGAGAGAGAGAGAGAGAGAGAGAACACGCCAGGGAGTGGGCTTTTATTGGGGAACAAAAAATTCCAGGGAAAATCCCATCCAATGAAGGTTAAGGGGGCAGCATCCCAAGGTCAGGGGTGATGACTGGGTCTTCAGGACAGTGGCCAGGCCCACCTCTGCACGGACAAGCCCTCGGACCTGGGAAAGGGTGGGGAATGGCTCAGACACAGCTGTATCTAAGCGCCTCTCACCCAGCCAGGGAGGTAACTCAAATCACGTGTGAGATTGGCCTCCCACATTCCCTACACTGACATACTGTCACCAGGTGAAGAACTGCTAAGTACAGAAATAACAGTAACCTGAAGCCAGTCCAGCATAGTCACCTTGAATGTAAAGGACTTGGAAAGTATAGGAAGGATTTGAGTGAGTGTCATTCCTCATTTCTCTCTCTCTGCCTGTCTCTCTCTCTCTCTCTCTCTCTCTCTCTCTCTCACACACACACACACACACACACACACACACACATACACACACCTCTCTTCTACTCTTTCCTTTCAATCCTTACTCAACGCCAACCTCTCCTATCAGGAATGACAGAAACTGACTTCATCATACAATAGTCCTGCTGATATTTTGCATTTGGAGAATTCAACTGAAGACCACTTTGGGCATCTTACCTTAAACAGTTGCTTTATCTACAAAGACAGGGGACCAGAAAGCAGAAAGTAAGACAGACGTCCAGCTTCCTTAGCCAAGCAGGACCCACGTGCTGAGAGAACTGGAGCCACCATAGGCAAGAGTTGGTCCTCTCTTGCAAGTCCAAGGGTCTCTCCCCAGGGTCCAGTGGTCTCTCCCCAGTGTCCCATATCCAGCTCACACCATGGTGCTTTTCTTCCCCAGTGGGGCAGGATCTTTCATATGAAGGCCAGGCCCCCTGGCCCAGGGGGCCCCAGGAGTGCTCTGTGGCATCATCACCAGGCGTATGGAGGGCGGGGCGTCCGCGGTGGCCTCGGGAGCATACTCCTTACTGGGGTCCTTGCCTCGGCAGTCATAGAGCACACAGGAGATGAGGAACACCAGGAGCAGGATGACGTAGCTCACAACTAAGATGATCAGGTTCAAGGTGACAGGGTCGATCTCCAAGTAGAACTCCATCACCTCTCCTACGGTGGGGATGTGGACCTAGCGGAAAGGCATTTGGGGTCAGTTTTGGCCTGGCAGGGAGCAAACTGTAGTTCATTAGAATAGCTCCATGGACTCTGTTGTAAAAAAAAAAATACAATAATCCCCACTGTTCCAGGAAACCTTGAGGATTAGAGCTGCTCTGTTTAATAACTTAAGCTCTTGCTGTTAATACCCCAGAGCCACCAAATCACAGACACTGTCTCTCCCCAGTTCCCCTACACAGAGAGAGAAAGAGAAGGAGAGATGGTTCTCATGCTACGAAATCCTGGTACGTAAGGAGTGACCACAAAAATCCCCCATGGAATTTTTGGTGAGCCAAAGCACCGTCAATAAGCACACCGAGATTAAAGTTAAGAACCTGGATTGTCCTGGGCCAACTGCATTGTTTTCATTTAGTAAGGAAAGTTCAAGGCCAAGTATGGAGTGATTGGGGCTATCAAGCCGGTGGCCTTTGGGAGTGGTTGTATTTCTTTAACAACAGGAAAACACCAGTAGCTGGCATTTTTACCCTCTCTTCATTTTTCCCCCCCACTCGTCAATTAAAAAATAATTCTAGTCCATCTCCTGTGTTTCAGGCTCTGTGCTAAGCAAGGAAGGTGTGACAGAAATAAGATACAGATGCATTTAGTCACCAGGGCTGATAGATGTTAAATAACTGCACAGGGCACCCTGGAGGAAGGCTGGGAATAGTGGGTCACAAGAGAAAACAGACAGACCCCAAGAAGCAGCAGCTCCTATGAAGAAGCAGCACTTAACCTTTGACCTGAAGGATAAGTGGAATTTAGCTAGGTGAGGTTAGGTATGGAAAGTTCTCTGGCTACAGAGAACAGCCTTTGTGGATGCTCTGAGCAGCAAAGGCCTGGGCAATCGGAGGAACTGGAACAAGGACAGTGTGAACTGGAGCATCCAGAGAGAATTGGGGAGCGCAAGGTGAGAGAGGAAGGAAGGGGGTCAGGTGGCACAGGGGCTTGTGGGCCACTGAGAACCTCAGACTTCCACCTTGAGCAATGGGATGCCACTAAATAGCTTAGGTAGGGGTGTGACGCCATCCATTTGCATTTTAAAAAGATCCTTGGCTGCTGTGTGGATCAGGAAGACATGCAAATTGAAAGGAAGATCAGATACAAATTAGAACATACTTATTGATTTACAATCTTTTTCTTGTCTCAGTTGTAGCCCTGTTTCCATACTCCTAAATAGGGCCAGCCAGCTTCCTGGGAGTGTAATTGTGCAGGAGACCAAGGCCCTTTGCTCAGAGTACTCACTTGGTTTAATGCTTTACTCTTACTCTCTTGAAACTATTCATAATTTTTAAATTTTGCATTGAGTGCCATAAATTATATATCTGACTTTGGTCTCATATGCATTTTGGTGGTCCCAAACAGTGTACCAATAGCCATTTCTCCAACAACTAATGGGATTCTCTTGATACATATAGTTAAAGGCTAGTGCTTCCAGAGGTTGGCTATTTCCTTAACATTGATAAGCTTTAGTGGACTGGCAGCTTTTGGTCAAGCTCCTTGATACACAGCTTCCATGGGAAATTGAAAGGTCAGGGGTGCTGTAGAAGGGAGTTCTTATTCATCAGGAGACCTTCCCCTCCTACCCCCCAAATAAAATACTTCCTGATTCTTTGCTCCTGGAGTAACCTGTGGGATTATACTCAAGAAGATGAACAGTTCTTATACACCAGAGGTTTAGGGGTAGCCTCACTGGAATCCTTTGGCTTCTTAGGAATACAGATTCTGTGTCAACCACATCGACTGAGTTAGAATCTTTGGGGCTTGAGTCTGGGAGTCTGCATTGAATAAAATTCTTCATGCATAATTTTGATATGCAACCAGGATAGAGAGTCCTGGACATGAAGAGTGAAAAAAGGATGTGAAGGAAAGGATCAGCAACCAGGAGTCTTGATCAGGTGCCAGAAACATCCCAGCTGGCATTCAACACAGAATTCAAGGCTCTGAGTCCAACAGGTTCAGAGAACAAATTTTGTCCAGAGGAAAAATTTTTTTTTTCATGGTGGCAATTCACATTTACCAAGCTCATAAGAGACTGATGTTAAAAATACAGAATAGCAATGCATTAAACTTCCGTGACCAATGCAATTGTTCCAGGGTTGGGAGTGGCTTGTACTCCGAAGACCACAGCTTTTCTTCCTGGAGGCTTGATCTACAGGAAGAAATTTCCATCAATCACTGGGAAGACTCCTGATGAGCGCACAATCCCAGGAAGTGGAGGGGTCCGTTGCATCTGGAAATCACATGCTACCCAACCAAGAGGAAGCAAGGCTTAAAAAGCAGCACTGTACTCCAGATGATTGCTCTCTTTCAACCACGCTCAACTCCAGATTCTTGACTTCTATAGGGAACTGAGCGTATGGCCCTGGTGCCTCCATGTAACCATTTAGGGGAGTTCTTTGGTGCCTTTAAATAGGACGGCACAAGGATTTGTTAAGAATTGACTCTGAAATGAGAACTGCATACAGCATGATCTGCATTAGAGTGATCTGCATTAGAGTCTACACAACAACTCGGTTCTGTGGAGTGGCATTTTCACAATCCGTTCTAGGTTTCTCATTGTAGTGGTGATACTCCTTCACCGTGGGGGTTGATCTGGTCAGCCTTCTTGCACTGTCCCAGCTGTGCTGATCTTCCCCTAGGGTCCCAGAAAGTTATTCAAGATCACTGTTCTTGATTCCAGTATCTTATTACTGTTTGCATAGTTTTTTTTTTTTTTTTTTTTGGTCTCTGTTTTGCCCAGTGCTCAGAGTTCAGAGTTCATTTTAAGTTCATCCTCCTCCTGGAGGCTTCACTTCCTTTCAGTGTCTTGGGTGAACTGTTGCCTACCTATTTTACCGATTTAACCTGGAGGATGTCTGCTTTATTCCTATTGGGGCCAATTTCCCATCTTGCCTCATTTCTGTGTCTTTCAAGGACTTTCCTCTTGCGCCATCTAGTGGCCAAGGCAGAGGCTGCTCAAGAAAGAAAACATTTGTAGGCCACAGGGAAATGAGGATGGTCAGTACTATTTAGCAGAATAGGGGCCTATAGCTATTAACAACACATTTCAGAACAACCCCTTGAAATTGTGGGGACATACTCGTTCCTTCATTCACTACAAACATGAATTGCACACTTACTAAAGGCTGGCAAGGTGCTAGGCATTTTGAAGCTTGATTATGTGATAAATAATGAAATGGCACTACGCACTCCATGTGAGAGAACTCCGATGAAAAAATGAATTATTAAGCCCATTTCTGGAAAGAGAAAATTGAAGCTCAGAGAAGTCATGTAATTCTAATGAGCTCATTCTTGTTCTCTTCCCCCTCTTACTCTGTCACCTCTCTTTTCTAGTGCCTGAAATATGAATCAAATTCCTACATAGAATGCCCTATGTTGTAGGGTATTTGAAACTCCTGGAATCCTTACCTGTATGCACATTTATTTGCATTACAGTCCATTTTAACTGCTGATCTGGAACATGACTTCCTAAATACCTGGCAAATGTGTGTCCCATATAGTTGCGAAACTCTAGTTGTATTTCTAGGCAACTGGAGTTAATTGCTTAAAATACCAAAAATATTTTTTTTGTGTGTGTGATTTTACTCTTCTGGAAGGGGAATTTACCTCTGGTATTACATTCGGAGTGCCTTGTGTCCTCAATAAAATATGGTATCACAAAAGTCTTAGTGCAGTGTTAGGTTTTAATAACTCCAGGGCTGAAAAATGTCACAAATATCCCCCAAAGACCATTGGAAATTTCATTATTTTCAGGATACTATTTTTGAGCACATTTAGACTCAGTGACAGAAACAAGGCTTTAAGGCAGGTTTTTTTGAATTCTAGTCTAGTTGCCTTTATTCACTGGAACTCTCAACTAGATAGAGTGAAACTTGAAAGAACAATGGATGCTGTATAAACTAGCATAGAGAGAATGACAATAATGACAAAAAACAAATGCTAGGCACCTATATTTTCAAAAGACAACTTGCCCTTCAAATCTGCACTGAGGACATACCCCTCCTCCCAATCCACGGCTCTTCTTAGCTTCCCAGTTATAAATCTAGTGGGTTGCTCCTCTGGGAACCCCTGGAGAAATGCTGCCACACTTTTATCACAGAACAATTTTATCATTGAATAGTATGCCCTTCACCCCAGTTTATATCCACATGGAACCTCAAAATGTGACTTTATTTGGAAACAGGATCTTTATAGATATAAATAGTTAAGATGAGGTGTTACTGGATAAGAGGGCGTCTTGAATCCTGAAAGAACGAATAAGGCTTGTCATTGGAGCAAATGCCCATTTATTGAGGAACAGCTTTGCATATTTATAGAGCCAGGGGTGGTTTGACAGTTGGTATGGGGTGCTTTTGATTGGAAGGTAAGGATCAGGTGAGCCAGCAGGGCTAGTCTGATTGGTGGGTAGGATCAGGTGAGCCAACAGGGCTCTGATTGGTGGGTAAGGATCATGTGAGCCAGCAGGGCTCACCATTGGACGGCTCTTCTTGGGGAATGGGGAAGTTAGTCTTTGGAGCTGGGTCGACTCCCAACAAATCCAGTTACTGGTATTCTTATAAACTGATCATGTGAAGATAGAGAGACACACAGAGAGGAATACCATGAGGAGATGGAGGCAGAAATAGGAGTGAGGTGTGTATAAACCAAGGAACACCAGACGCTGTGAGAGAGGCAGGGGACAGGTGCCCCCTCAGAGCCTCTGGAAGGAACCAGCCTGCCGCCATCTTGATTCCGACTTCTAGTCTCCCTAGCAGTAAGGGGATAGATCTCATTGTTTTAAGCTACTCTTTTTAATTTTATTTTTTTAGAGCAATTCTAGGGAACTAATGGATGACCTATCTAATGCATAGATTAAAAAAAACAAACAGAAATGGCTCAAAGAAAACTGAAGTATGTTAAGTTCTTTCAGATCTTCCTCTGTTTTCTTTTGGCACTTGCTCTTTATGA